GGACCTTGAAAATATTCTAGTCCAAGCCCCTGCCCAAGGCTGGAGACCTTATACTGTTCCAGACAAATGGCTGACCAATCCAGCTGTATCTTTCTCCAGAATCTTATCATAACTAAAAATGCCCTGGAACCAAGCTTTTGCAACCCATTTTAAACTTTTATTTCAAAGGCTGGTTTTTCCTAGCCTCTTCAGATATCAGCTACAATTTAAACCATCCTTTCTGAAATGCATCAAATGCAGAAACACGCCAGTATGATTGCCAGTATTTTATCCTAGGTCAGTGATGGCTAACCTTTCCATCCTCACGTGCCAAATGTGTGTACACACATGCATGCATGTGCATGCATACCAGCACCCATAACGCAATCCATGTGGGGACCTCCATGCCCATGTGCATGTGTGCATGACTCCCCCGTGTGCACCACGCATCTCTGCGCATGTACACATGACCCCCCACGTGTGACATGCATTTGTACGTATGCGCATAAATCTCCTGTGTGCGCCCTGGCCCTGGCACATGTGCAGCAGCTACCCCACGATCAACTGGTGGGTGGGTGACACGCGTGCATGTGCAGTGAACCTGCTCTGGGGCAACGGTTCGCATGCCGGTGGAGATGGCTCTGCATGCCACTTTCAGCATGCGTACCATTGGTTCTCCATCACAGTCCTAGGTGATACCCATTATAGGCATCTAAAGGTGGAGGACATGTAAAGAAAAATGTTTCAACTTCCTACATAATAATAAAGAGGGAAAAATGCCTTCAAATTGAGTTTGTTCTTGATATCTTCATGGACACACCTCTATCAGGATTTTTGGCCTAGTCTAACTTATAAAGGGATGCAGTGGCTCAGTGGCTAAGACCAGGAATGGGATTCTACCGGTTCTGTCCACCTCTGTAGAACTGGTAGTTCTGAAGAGCAGCAGAGAGCATACATAGAAATAGTTCTATGTCTGCTGCTGTTTTGGGCCACCCACTCACCCGTGCGCTTGCTGACCTTTATTTCCTGCTTTTTCAACCGCAGTTGCTTTGCACGACACAGCTGCGGTTGAAAAAGCAGGAAAAAAGGGCTTTTCCAACTGCTCCACACTTGCACGCAATGCTGCTCAGCTGTCTGGGCAGCTCAGCAGGTCGTAAATTGCACTCACGTGACTCACACATGCACGCGCAACTCAGAGCAACAGAACCAGTAGTTATATTGGTCGGATCCCATCCCTGGCTAAGACGCTGAGCTTGTCGATCAGAAAGGTTGGCAGTTTGGCAGTTCAAATCCCTAGCAAAGCGAGCTCCCATTACTTGTCCCAGCTTTTGCCAACCTAGCAGTTTGAAAGCATGTAAACTGCAAGTAGAAAAAACTTTGGTGGGAAGGTATTTGGCATTTAGTCATGCTGGCCACATGACCACAGAGACATCTTTGGACAGCGTTGGCTCTTCGGCTTTGTAACGGAGTTGAGCACCACCTCCTAGAGGTAGAAACAACTAGCATGTATGTGTGAGGGGAACCTTTACCTTTACATTTTAGTCTAACAACCCTAAAAATTTCTAGTGGCCTATTCAAGTTTATATATATTTACTTTTACAAGATTAGCCAAGGGGGTTTGCTCTCTCAACAATTCCCTAAACTTCTTTGAACTATGGCAACCATTCTTTTCTGTCACCATAAGAGTGTTAGCTTTGGAGGTCCCACTCCAATGCTTATTCCATGAAAACAACTTCCATTTGGTTTTCTTTTTCCTTAATTGTCTCTGCCTGTCCATTAAAAGACCAATTACATACCTTAAAGAACTAATAACTGAAATGTCTCAAGCCCTGTTCTTTTTTTAAAAATGTGTGTCAACATGACAAGAAAATGCAAAGGGATAGAGTTTCAATCTCACTGCCATACCAACCTTCTTTTGACCCCCATACACATTTGGCGTGTCTCTTAGATAAATGTGAGATGTAAAAAAAAATCTCTCTGCTTCTAATTTGGAATATTGTTAGACATTGTGTACATTTTATCAGATACTGATTGATGCGATATCCATGAAAGAGCACAAGTCTTTTTGTCTGTTAATTTTTTAAATTGAAATTAAATAATTATTCACGGATGAAAGGGACAAAGGGTTAAGTGTCTTCATTAACAGTAACGTTTTCATTAAAATGAAATTCCCCATTATTTAAATAAAATGGGTTTTGTTGATAATGAACTGAAATAACACAAAGATAGTTACTTGACCTAGTTTAGTGAGTTGATTGCTATAGCTGTGGGTGCTTTGAAAACAATTTCTAAGTGTTAACTTTGCACTATCCAGTCCCTCTCTGTTATGTGTTACGGCATGCACAATTATTTTTCAGCTTCCAGTTTTGCTTGAAAGAAGATGTGCACACTTTAAATAGCAAAGAGGTGCTGCATTTATATTTGGATAGAAGTACCTCTTCTGAATCATTAACAATTATGCAGAGCCCTATTAATTGCTGTTGAAGAAAATGAGCCAGGATTAGAACTCACAATATGAAGTTATTTGCTTCCAAATAAACAAACTCAGGCCATGCAATGGCCTTCTGAACTATAATGCTGACAACATTGGCCAGAATGGATGGAAAGTGCAGTTCAAAACATTGGGAAGATACCAGATTATATGTGCTGACCTCAAACAATATCCAAAATTAAAAACATTAGTCAAATTTATATAGATGCCCATCTCACAAAAACTAACTCTGGGTGGCATGCAACAATACTAAAAACAATTTGTCTGGATTCATACATTATAACTTACAGCAGAAAATGGAAGCACAAGGGTTTTTTAAAAAAAATATTTTAGCTTTTACAAGCTACAACAATTCACTATTAATTTATTAGATTTACAAATAAAAATATAAAAATAACACAAACTAAGAAAAATATCAAAAGAAAAAAATAAAAATAAAAAGGTGCAAAAATAAAAATATAATAATGAAAACATATATATAAAGAAGTTACTTCCCTCTACATCAAAAGAAGTACAAACAATTTCACCAATTTAACAGTACTCTGATTCTACAAGAAAAAAAAAATCATTTCCTCTCATATCTCATCTATTATCTATAAACAAGTATTTAAAGCTTCATCATTTGCTATGGGTCAGCAAAAGTCCAGTATTACCACAAACAACAGCATAGATATTTTAACCTTGATTAAGCCAACTTCATAATTTCTTTGCTATAACAATCTTGTTTTTAATTCCTTTAAATAATATACCAGCACTTGATTTCTTTCCATTTTTTCTTTGTCTCTTGTCAAAAACCTAACAGTAAATCCAAATCAAACATTTGTAAAGCCAAAATAAACAGATTATACAAGTGGTTTGTTATCTGCATATTCTTTTTAATTGTTAAGACATTTGTTGGCTTTATTTGTAAATCAAATGTCATATCTTGTTTCATATAATTTTTCTAGCCTGTTATTTTTATTCAAATCACCTCCAGACTCAGTTTTATCCAGCAAGATCTACTCCTCTACCATAATTTCTTTAAGTCTCATTTTTATAGCATCAGGTAAGAGAAACATCTGCATTCCCCAAATATTTTTAAAGTCTTCTACAGTTTCTTCCCATCTTTTCTCATTTAATTATAATGTTTAGTTTTTTCTGGTTCCTCTAGAGTCCAAACTTCAAAATCCTCTCTTATGTTTTTCTCCAATCAACAACATTTTCCCATAGGAAGATTTTTTTATATAATTAATTTTAAATATTTCATATTTTTAATAAAATTCAGGCAACCCACAGGAAGGATTCTTGTAATTAATTTCAAAGTGATACTTCAACTCTAACTAGCTCTTTAATCCATTTATAACTTTCCAAAATTGATGTTGTAATCTCCAACAAACTTGTGATATGGACTTCATCCATCTCATATTTCTAGCACTATAAATAATATAAGTACCAAGGAGTGACAATTCTTGGCTTGCTGTATTTGTATCTACATAACAGTTGTGTATGTCACATTTTAAATAATTGAATGCTTTCCCACAACACCCTTCTCTCCTTCAACTGCCATTAGTTGACACAATAGTAAGAAATGAAAATAATAAAATGTTCACAATAGTGAGCTATTCTTGACACTGAATAATTCACTATTCGTTCATTATGTTCTATATAACCTGAGATGTATTTTATCATTGGCAAAGTTCAGTGTTTTGCATGTACATTCAACCCAAAGCAGTAAATATGCTTAACGTTCCTACCTCCTCCTATCAATTATCCTGATTTAGATTATTACTTGGTAAATAACTTGATTTAAACTTGGGATAAGATATTACATTAATAAGCTTTTATTTGTCTGAGTCTGATAGTAATAAACTTCACCCTAATAAAGTATTCTGCCTTGAGCAATGTGAACAAAATATCCTTTAAAAATACCATTAAAATATACTGTTAAACAGAATATGGTGATTGCCACATCTTTTTATTTCCAATTTGTGTCAATTTGACTTGTGCTCATTTAAGAATCCAAATAGAATGTGAGCAGTTGTTTGATATTCAGAATCCTTTAATATCTTTGTTTTAGTAAAGTTTCTGGAAACAGACATTTTGATGTATACCATTCATCTTTTCCTGGGCATTTCATCTCTCACTGGAATCTTACAGGATTTATTTTGAAAGCCTTTTACTCAAACACAATTACATTCCAGTTAAAACAGGAAAAATCATATCAAAACCATTATGAATTTAGTTTATTATAACATAGCATTCACTCTGACATGGGTTTGAACCAAGGCTCACAAAGTATTTGCTTAACATTATATAAGTTCTTGAACATTATATAAGAAACAACTGTCCATTTTAGACAACTAAATTAGCTTTGACATGTTATTCAGCTGCCAAGATTGATAGATATTATGAGCAGCTGAAAGAGGATAATGCCGTGTTCTCTTCCAAATATTTCCCCCCAAATCTCTCCATCAATGTATGCCTTTCTGAAAGACCCATTTGCTTAAAAACAAGTACTGTGGACTATAAACTCTGGGGGCTTGTTACATACCAATTTCAGAAGCAGTGACTGTGATGTTGTACCAAGGGGTTTCTTCTCTGTCAAAGACCTTGGCAGTCTTAATGGTTCCAGTGTTTGCATCAATAGTGAAGTGTCTGTCTTCTGTATTGTGATCAATGGAATATCTAGGAAAACACAAAATGAAAACATAAGTTAAAAACAAGTGCTAACATTAACCAGTGAGCAATTTTCTTAACTGTTTGCATTTATATTCAGGGAGGGAGCCACAACATAATCCCAGCATTTTTGCAAGTAGCTATACTGAATGGACTTCAACAGTCTTGAATGCTTAAATCTATTGGGATGGACAGTTCCTGGTTAGCTTGACCAATGGCCTCATTCAGTTTATGGAAGCAATAAACACTTCACTTCTGGAATTAACGGCCTGCTAGAAAATATCATTTCTAATGTTGCTTCATTGCATGTATCTTACCAAAAAAGTAGACTGGCTGAATTTATGTACAATAAATACTACAGTTAAAGCTGTGAATTGGTCCTGTTTTTATTGAGTATCAACACAAATATTGCTTCTGTTGGAATAATGCTTCAGTGCTGTTTTGGTTGTATGTTATTTGCATATATACTGCATCTAACATGTTGCTTCCTTTCAGATAAACTTGTTTTTACCATTTCCATTTATCATTACCATCTTCTAAGAGATACCATCCATTTAGTCATACTTAATTAATTCAAATAGAATTAACAGATGTTAGTCCAAATAAAGGAATGAGCTAAATGACAGGTTGTGTATGAAACAACAAAATAAGACATAAATATTTTAGTTAAGGTGCCATCTCTTGTTCACTTTTTATGAGGCTACCTTGGACAAGTAACATTATTTTATTAAGTGAACAGAAGAGATGGATTTTTCTATTGCTCTGCTAATTTACTCCATTATGTGTTATACTGTTCCTGAAATCTACTCAAAATAGAAGAATTTGTAAAAATTATTCTGGAAATAAAGAATGCAGTTTTCTAAAGCTTTGTCTCTTATTGTTGTCTGTTTCATCTCTAGCTCTTCCTCTCACTTGAATTACAAATCTGTATAATAATATAGTGTAGTTCACGACAATATTTTTTCATGCAGATTAATTTAAATCTATGCATATTTTTCTACAGATGCATAAATAAATTCATGCTTAATATACAAGACTACATAAAAAGAACATAGATAGAACCATGAATCACAAAGAAGTAATTCTGTAAAAATAAGATACTATACCAACTGTATTACAATGCACATGATATTGAAATACAATACTACAGTCTTGCATGTTTAATAATATTGTGTGCAGGTCTGTACATGAGATGAATTAATGCTCTTACATATAATAAGAGTTGCATACTGGTGAAATGATTAAATTGAAACTGTTTTGATTGTACAGTTAAAAAACTTAGAAAAGAATGCTAACTTGGAATCTGAAAATATGAGAAATAAATTTATCTCATATAGAACAGGTGTTAGATCAGAGAAAGTAAAAAGCAGAACAGGAGATTTCCATTGCCCTTAGCATGTA